ACCCAGCGGCCTCTCGAGGGGCCCCACGGCCGCGGCAAAGGGGCCGAAGCCCAGCCCCCGGAGGGGACGTCGCTCCGCCCGCCCTGCCCCCAGTGTCCGCGAGATGGCATCCGAGTCTGCCCGGCCAGAACCTCCCACGCTCGCCTCCCGCGGCCCTGGCCGCCCCTTCCCGGTGCGGAGAAAGCGCAGTGGAGGCCCAGCTGGGCGGGAGATGGCCCTTCAGCCCCTGCTGGTTATCGGGGGGCGTCCCCCCTACCCCGTCTGGTCAGCGAGTGGGTCTCCACTGGTATTCCCAGCAAATTCCAGGGGTGGTGAGACTTGCTTGGGGACATCCATCCTCAGGCAGAAGCCAGAATGGGCCCAGAAACCCGGCTGGTGCCAGCAGAGGTCTCACTCACCCTTTGGCTGGGATCAGCATCCATCCTGTGACTGACTGGTCAGAGTGTAAGCTCTCAGTCTGTTTTCTCTGGCTAAATTGGGGCTCTCCTCTTTTTCTCTGGGGTTGTCAATTCACCAGCATACATGCACCTAGGTGCGGCTATGGTCTCCCTTCTCTTGGCTGGTGTATAAGTGGCTTCTATTTCTGTAGATTCATATTTTTCATCAGTTCTGGAAGATCGCTCGCCATTATCCTTTTGAGATCACCTCTCATTCTGCCTGCTTTTTCTTGGTAAATTCTCCTGGGCCATGGAGTCAATGCTGAGTAACCCAACCCGTAACCACTATACCACTTATTAAATATATGTTTCATCTTCCCCTAACCGCACAGATGACTGAATCTCTCCCCTCTTTCTCTCTCTGCTGCCTCCTGGGTCATAGCTTTATCTTCCTCTTGCAGTTCACTTATTCCCACTCCCCTAGTCTAACCTGCCGATTAAACCATTCACTGAGTTTTAAATGGTTCTATTGTTATATCTAAGGATTATAAGGACGTGGCGACTTTGCAAATGTATTTTTTGATGGCCTCTTTTGTGACATGTATAATTTTGGGATTCCCCCTTTTATTTTTTTTTTGCACCTTTGGTTTCTTAGCATTTCATAGGTAGTCATCTTCTATTCTGTACCTAATCTTCCCAATATCCCAGGCTTTGGGGCCAGTGTCAGAATCTGCAGCTCTTCCGGTTTCTCACTAACGGTGTTTCAATGTTTAGTAATGTTTCATTGTTAGCCCAGCCCTGGATCATTCTGAGGTTTTGCTTTACGGACTTTCCTTCCAGAGAGCATTTTAGAATGCTCTTTTGTGAACCTGACCGATCAGGGCTCCTTTTTGGGTACTAGCTTCGTTACTCCCCCCGCCCCCCCAATGCAAAAGGCCCACTGCTTGCTTCCCTGACTACTGTGCACCATCTTCAGGGAGTCCTCTGCCCCCATTCTCATTTACTTCATCATCTCGGGGTTCTGCTCAATATTCCTTTTTGATTATTGTTGTCTTTTTGATGTTTAAATTTGGGTGGAGGGGCTTGGGAGATAATTGCTTTGCTTTTCTGTAAGTCCTACAGAAAGCCCTATTAAAAGAAAAACAAGCCTTATTAAAAGACGAAAAAGCAGCAGCAGCGTGTTTATTGCAACTCCTCCAGAATCTACTTGCAGCTGAATGAATCTAGTTGTAGCGGTTCCCAACCTGTGGGTCGCCTAAGACCATATTTCCACTGGCCTTCGGAACCGAGACACCGCTCCTCTATCAGTCTCCAGGCAGGCCCACCCACATGCAGATAAGCCCACATATGGGTCACCACAATGCGAGGAACTGTATTAAAGGGTCACGACATTACAAAGGTTGAGAACCGCTGTCCTGGAAGGCTTGGTCCATCATGTACTATCATGGGGAGCCCTGAGGCACCCGTAGTGGGTTAGACACTGGGGCTTTCATAAACCACCAGCTTCTCTGAGGGAGGAAGATGAGGCTTTCCACTGCTTGCCTGATGATTGACAGCCTCTCAGAAACCCACAGGGCCTGCTATGAGTCAGTAGTGACTGAATGGCAGTGAGTGTTTATAGCCAGCAGGGCTCAGTCTATGACCACGAGGCCAGGGCCTGGCCTGTGACCAGGGTCAGCGCTCCTTCTGGGACCAGGCTTCCAATTCCGGGCATGGGGAAGGTCCAGGGCTCAGGAGGAACCGGGACCCATGTGTGTGGGATGGCCAGGATCAGCTCAGCCTGTGACCCAGGGTCAGGGCTTGGCTTGTGACCGAGGTCAGGGCTCCGTCTGTGGCCTTGGTCTTGAGCGAAGTCCGGTGCGTCGAGTTCAGCAAGAGTTCTTGGGGTTTTCCGACCCTATCTAAGCTCAGCTCAGATGGCTTTCCCGGACAGACAGGAGCTGGGCCTGTGGCCAAGTGCCTGGGACAGTTTCCCTTTGGCCTTCCTCCCCTCCTGCCCAGGATTGGGCAGGCGCTGGTGGACGCCAGGCTTAAAGGATGAGGATTCTCTTGGGAAGCACTTGGCTGAGGCGCCTCCTGGCCCTGCAGTTGTCAAAACAACAGCTGGGCTGGGTGGGGGTGGGGAGGTGGCCTTGAGGGGAGTCCGGATAGAGGCAGACTCCTGAGGGTGGGCTGGTTCCATCCAGGTGTTCCCTAGCTTCCCAGGCCCCCCTGAGGCTGCACAGCTGCCAGGTGGCCCAGGGGTGTTGAAGGCCCTGGCTGTGGGGTAATTGGGGCTTGGCCTCAGTCCTGCCTGCTCACTGAAAGGCAAGGAACACCTGTGGGTGGGTGGGTGGGGGGGCTGAGGGCCATTCCAACGAGGGTCCTGAGAGCTGTTCTCAAAGGAAAGAGCAAGGCAGCTCCGGAGCCTGGAGGTGGCCTCTGGCAGGGACGCCGGAGGGGGCAGGGCTGGCAGGTGGGACCAAGGCAAGAGAAGGGGCTGACCCTGGGAAGAGAGTGGAAACAAGCCTGGGGGTGGTGGGGTTACGGTGGGCTGCCCAGAGTGAGGGGCTCAACACCCCCCTTCCTTTGGCTCTCCGTGCACTGTCCTCTTCTGGGGCAGGCCCCTCTTTCAGGACTCCCAGAGGCCCTTAAAGAGCATTGGTGACATAATGCTCTTTAACCCCAAGGGCAGCAGTTTGAAACCACCAGCCGCTCCGCATGAGAAAGATGAGGCTTGCTACTCCTGTGAAGATTGAGCGTCTCAGAAAACCCACAGGGTAGGTCTGCTCCCTCCTATAAGGCCGCTCTGAGTCGGACACAAATTGATGGCAGTGATTTGAGAGGACTTCCTATTCCCCACGAGCTGCGTGCGCCCTGGGGGGCCTACGGACCCCTGGTGGTGTAGCAGTTACCAGCAGGGCTGTGCTCTGCATGGTCCGAATTCAAAACCACCAGCTGCTCCGCGGGAGAAAGACAAGCTTTCTACTCCCGGACAAACAGTTACAGTCTTGGAAACCCACATCGGAGTCACAATGCGTCAACACTAATTTGATTACAGGCTGTTGTATTTTTAATGGAGTCCCAGTGGCACAGTGGGTATGTGTCGGGCTGCTAACTACAAGGTTAGCAGTTCAAATCCACCAGCCACTCTGAGGGAGAAAGATGAGGCTTTCTGTTCCCTTGAAGATTTACAGCTTTGGAAACCCACGGGGGCAGCTGCACCCTGTCCTCTCGGGTGGCGAGGAGTGGGAATGGACTCGGTGGCAGGGGGTTGGTCTTAGTTCCCGTCACCAGATGTCTTCTCCAAGGCCTGGCGCACAGTGTGTCAGCTGCCGCTTGGGGCTGTCACCACCTCCCCACTCCCCCAGGGAGGCCTGTCCCCCAGGCTGGACTCTACGAACCTCGGTCTTTCCCCTCCCGGAGCCCAGCTCGGAGCAAGTCCCTCTCTCAAGGCCACTGTCCTGTCTCAAGCCCCAACTTCATGGGACTGTTGGTCCTCACCCTCAGAGCCTTTGCTCCCAGTATGGAAGGACCACTGGCCTCCCAGCCCCCACCGAGCCCCACCCTGAAGGTCTCCTGCCTTTAGTGCTCCCAGGATGAAGGGGTTAAACCTACTGGGCAGCCAGGCAAACTTGGGGTCTCCATGGGAGTGGGGGTGGTTCTGATCCCTGCCCAGCTTTTAGCCACCCCCACCCCCACCTGGCTTCAGCAGCCTGAATCCTAGGGTGGGTCTGCCCCCACCCAGGAATGTGGCCCATCCAGGTGCCAGGTAGAAATCACTGCCAAGCTGGGGTGGGTGGGCTGGCTCTGCGGACAAAAGCCCTTGTCCCTTTCTGGTGTCCCTATCGCCTCTGAGGGAGCCACTCTGCCAGGGTGGCACAGGCCTGTCTTCACCCTGCTGGCCGCTCTGGACCCTTCCTTCCTTGACCCTCCAAGCTCCAGAGCGGCACTTGACAGGAGGGAGGGAGGGCCATCTGTGGCAGGGGCAGGGCCAGGTGTCCCCTCAGGGCCAGTGTACATTGAGGGTTCCACAGGAGGGTTAGCAATCCATCTCATTAGGCATTAGCTGGGGATCCTGGAGCAGCAGGCTCGATCCTGCCAGCTCCCGCGGGCCTGAGTCTCTCCACGACCTCACTCACACAGGCCCAGCTCCACATGGGCCAATTTTCCCCTGCCGTCTTCTCTACTTGGGATAGTTTCCCTTCCAGGCCTGGGCGACCTCTCCTTTCCTTCTCTGCCCTTGCCAGCCCAGGGGCAGGCCTCCACCCGTGTGACCTGCTCTGAGGAAACCAGCAGACATACTTGTCCTTGCTAACTGACATCATGGCACCTCTTCTAGACAGGAATGCACTGTGGGGACAGGGACTCGGCCCTTTTCGCTCCTAGATCCCAGGCACAGTACAAAGATGAGGGATGAGCAGAGAGGGGTATCCGAATCGCACCTTGTGCCCAGATTACCTACCCCCAGTTGTGGCCACTTGGAACTGGGTGGGGGGGGTCAGCAGCAGAGGAAGCCAGAACCCCAAGCCTGCCCCCCACCAGTTCTGGTCCTCAAGCCCCAGCCAGTCCCAGATCACAGACAGGTGGGTCCCTGGAGAAGAATGTGTGGGTAGAGCCATGGGGTGAGGACCAGCAGGTGACTTTAGGCAGCAGTTCTCAACCTGTGGGTCGTGACCCCTTTGCGGGTCAAACAACCCTTTCACAGGGATCGCCCGATTCCTAACAGTAGCAAAATGACAGTGATGAAGTAGCAACAAAAATAATGTTATGGTTGGGGGTCACCACCGCCTGAGGAACTGTCTGAAAGGGTCGTGGCATGAGGAAGGTTGAGACCACTGATTTGGGGCCTGCTCCTTTTCCTACCTCCCCCTGTACCTCAGGGAAAGGGTCTGCTGTGTCCTGTGTGTGTGTGTGTGTGTGTGTGTGTGTGTGTGTGTGTGTGTGTGTGAGAGAGAGAGAGAGAGAGAGAGAGAGAGAGGAGGACATGAAAACAACATCACAAAGAGCTGGGGGGGAGGCCTAGGCTGCTTTGGTCCCCAGGCCCCCACACTGCCTTCCATGGGGGTAAGGGGTGAGGGGTCAGAGGCCACGGGAGCTGCCCTTTTCTCTGGGGTCAAGCCATGATCACATCCAACCAGAGACAAAAGGGCCTTCTTCTCCCCAGCTGCTGATTGTGCTGGGGGCGGAGGAGGGCACATTCCCGAGACCCCGGGGTGGGACAAGGGGGGGGTGGAGGGGGATGTGGGGAGGGGGGCAGGCAGTTTCTAGCCAGCCAGTGTCCATTGGGAGGGAGAGGGACCTTGCCCAGAACCCCTCCACCTGTCTGTAGACCTATCTCAGGACTCCTGGATCTGCCCCTCCTGCTCACCATGACCTGGCCTGACCTACCCCTGGTGCCCCGTCCCACCTCTGTGCCCCTCAGTGTCCCCGTCCTTGCTCCCCAGTATCCGCAGGTGCAGCTGTCTTGAAGAGGCACTTTCCGGACCGTATTATTTATGCTTCCTCTGGTCGGGTCTCTACCCTGGCTCAGTGCTGACCACTACACCCCTGGCTGACCCCACTCGTTCCCAGGGG